TTCAAAACCCCATTTGATATCAATCCCTGTAATAAATGGGAATTAGGAGACAATGGTGAAATTTATCTTAAAAATGGAAAATATTATGAAGCACTTACAAATTTAAATAAATCATTAGAAATTGATCCAAACAATATAGATGCTTTGAAAATCCGTGCTGAAACTTTTTATATGATGGGTAAAGATAATGAAGCTCTTAAAGATTTAAACCTAATATTAAAAATTGATTCAAATAATTCATTTGCGTTGAGAATTAGAGGATCAATATATATCTGAGTTTGGATAAATATGAAGAATCACTTGCAGATTTAAATAAATCATTAGGAATTAGTCCAAATAATGTATTAGCATTGAGATATCGTGGAATAACTTATCGTACGATGTATAAATGGAAAGAATCGCTTGCAGATTTAGACAAATTACAAGAAATAGAACCAAAATATATATTTACACTATTTGATCAAGGAACAATTTATTATAGTATGAATAAAATAGAAAAAGCACTTGCCAATTTAAATAAATTTTTAACAAATTGTCCAAATGACATTGATGCATTTTCATATAGAGGTTCGATTTATTCTACATTAAATAAACGTGATGAATCAATTGCAGATTATAAGAAAGCATTGGAAATTTTAAACAAACTAATCGAAATTGACTTTAATAATGCAATTGTGTTATGTTCTCGAGGTGAGGTTTATCGATTGTTTAATAAATATGATAAAGCATTTGAAGACATGAACAAATCATTGGCAATAAATCCAAATAATATTTATGCTTTAGGAGCTCGAGGAGAACTTTATCGAAAGTTAAAAAAATATGAAGAAGCATTTGAAGATTTAAATAAAGCATTAAAAAAAAAAATCCAAATAATGCATGGATATTAGCTATAAAAGGAGAAACTTATTATGATATGGAAAAATATGAAGAAGCTTTTACATTTCTTGAAAAGTCATTAGAAATACATCCATATAATTTTTTAGTATTGGATTATTTTGAACGCCATATAGCTCCAAATAGAATAGACTTATATTACTATCATTTTTACACAGATTGGAATATGGATGATGATTATAATAAGTTATATTGGGATTGTGATGTAGAAAAATGTGAATATTGGGATCTTGATGTTGAATTTGCTGCTAGTACAATAATAGAAGAGACAGATGTATGTGATGAATGTAATCAACCTTGTGTGGAGATATATGAGATAAAGTGGTGCCAACCATGTAATTCTAGCCATTTTCAAAATGATTTTAAAAATTGGACTAGTAATAATACTAAAATAGATGATTTTATTCAAAAATTACAACTTGCTGCAGATAGACCATATAAAGTTATTGAATGGATTCCATTTAGTAGATTACGTCTTGTAAAATATATGACAAAAGGTGGATTTGGGTCTGTATATTCAGCTATTTGGCAAGATGGACAAATTAGAGGTTGGGATACAGATGATCAAAAATGGATTCGTGGAGGATGTCAGAGTGTTGCATTAAAAACAATAAATAATCCAATAGATTCAATTTCAAATCTTTTGAAAGAAATCGAATCAAATATTCAGGTAGTTGATGATCCACATTTTATCAAATGTTTAGGTATTACTCAAGATTCTAAAACACATAATTATATGATAGTAATGGAATATGCAACATCAGGTAGTCTTCGTTCATATATGAATGCTAATAATATGGATGCAAATAAAAAAGGTCAGATATTATGGTCAATTAGTAAAGGACTTTATCATTTACATGAGAAAAATTTAATTCATCAAGATTTTCATCCAGGAAATCTTTTGCTTATTAATGGATGTTTAAGTATTTCAGATTTTGGTTTATGCAAACAAGAAAATCAAAAATCAAAATCAAAAACTGAAAAAATTTTTGGAGTTTTACCTTATGTTGCACCAGAAGT